AGGGGGTAATGGATTGGTATGCAGTGGAAACCAGGAATGAATAATGTATCAATATACATGTGATCATCAGATGTTAATATCATGTTGCTATATTGCAAACAGTATTTAGAACACGATTCTGTATAAGATTCAGCAATGCTGTAAATGGACACTCGGCGACTGTTAAAAATGTATACACAAATTACATATCATTAATTACTACCATATATCTATTGACAAAGTATGTATATCACAAAGCACCGCCATGATTATTAAAAACAAGTCGCTTGAATGGTTAATGTCCATTTAGAAATACTTTTCACATACTGGTATTTGTTTAAAACAATTTTAACAATTTAAATTTATTATATAACAGCATAGACAAGATAAAATTATGTAGATAATCGATACATATGCATTCTAAAATAGATGTTTATTTTATTTTATAGATTGTCCAAACGTCCTTACTATAAACCTTTGCTAATTATATTGTACCTACCGTCACAAACGAAACGAAATATTTGCTATTTTTTTTTCATTTTAATTTATCAAACACAAAAATTAACGAACATGCTCAGACACTAATATCTTCTATTGTATGCCTGCTACATCCACGTCAAACAAACGGGACAGATTAGTATTTGACCGACTTATCAACAGATGCTGTCCTTATCTTTTTATTCTTTAACGCTGCTACAATTTTATTGATATACTTTTTTCCGGCGCTGTCAGTTTACCATATTCGTTGAGACCGGGAGATACTCATTACATTTCATTTTGTATTTCGTTGATACGCAAATGCAGATCAGTCTCGAGGTCATCTTTAGTGTCGCAGGATATGTAGTCTGATGTTAAATTGTTCTATGATATTTCAGAGCGATAATAATTAAGTTACACTAAATATGATTATATCTTTCTCGAATCCTATATTTGATAAGTATAGGAACCATATATTAAAATGTCATATCAGTAGAAAGATAACTAACACAATTACAAACTATGGCAAGCATGTAACATTTAAGGAGCAATGTTAAGCCTTATTTAATATTATAACATACTATTTCTTCTCTGTTATATACTACACTCATCTCATCAATGATAAAAACTATCTTTTATAATTTTTCATATATTCATATTTGTCTTTTAAACGATATAGATATCCTATGCATGATATGATATATCGTAAAGAAAAAAATATATAAGATATCATGTAAAAATCGATATCCTCGTTAGACAGACAATTAAATATATATTGTAATAATGCTTTCTCCCTCCGGAACCTCATCACGATTAATCATTTGTTAACAGTAACACTGACGTAAGTACATGTATATAAACAGTGCCCATCAATACTTTTATAACACAGTATAAGATTGGTTAGCTTACAACTTCAGATTTAGAAGTCTGCAAAAAGTTATTGTAAATCTCTCAGTCTGAAATCTAACATTATTTGTGTGCTCGGCATTTTCTGGCAGGGAGTTTATTATTTTCCAATTCAATTTTTGCTTTTTATAGACGCATTTATATATATGGTATCTCTTGAAGAAACTTATATAAGATATCTTATGTTTTACAAGATATTGCTCTTTAAATAAAGGTTAAGTTTGTTGCCATAAAACGACGTCACATTTACGACTTAACATATAATTCACGATATAGCCTCAGATGTGATGTAGGGAATAAGCCCCTGCCAAAATTTTGCTGAGTGATATAACTTTGGTAGCACGATTTTGATCAGTTAGAATATAGTAATGTCAATAGTCATGTTATCTACTGGGAAACTAATATGATGTCATAGAACTGACTGTAGTGTTAAACATTACCAATTTCTGGTAAATTATGTTTGTTTCACCTATGTCATTTAGAAGTTTGAATTTTTCCCGGATAAAATGTATAAGATCATTTATATCAACTTGGATAATTATGTTCAGAGACTGAAGTTTATTTTGTTGTTCTAACGTCCGAACAAACAACATAAGATTGAAAATGTTGATGAAGGACATTATGTTCATGACAAAGAATACATGTGACATTTCAATTTAAAGATAAGACCATTTCGAAATATCATATTAAATGGAAAGTCATTCGAAAATAATGTTTTATTAAAGTTTCATTTCCCCAACGTTTACGCGTCTTTCCTCAGTAGTCACAATTGATTCGCGATCCCAAAATCTGTTTTACGTACATAATGAAGATGTTCTAAGTTTGACCAACACAGCTAACTTATTTGTCATATTATTGTAATAACGATTTCAGATATCCTCCTGAATCCATGTGGTAACGATGGCAACTTCACAAATACCACATACCAGCTACATGTGCCCGATGGCATCACGAGGGTTCGACTACAAGAGGTTCATGAAAAAGAAATATACAATATAATCCGACAACGTAAGCTGATCCATATTATCAACATGTATTGTTTCTATTACATTGTATATCATTATTGTAGTATGTGAACACATCAAATAATATTTATTTAATGTGGTGTTTATCGAACTAATTTGGAGTTATTTTATTTGGCAAGTTTCATAAACTCAGATTTTATTTAAGGTAAAATACATTTTCTACTTTATCATACGCAGAACCATTACAGGAGAAGAACATGATTGAAGAAGTCAACCATGAAATATGAATTCGATTTCACACAATCGTGTTATCAAAATACCGGCAATATGGCAAAGTGTTGAAATAAAACAACCAATTTATTATGGATTGACAGTTTTTTGCTAAATTTTACTTAAACAAATTGACACACGCAAAGGAATGCCATTTAATACATCGTGGATTAATTGACAATGTAAATGATTATATTATGTGGCGCAGTAGGTAAAGCACTCCTCTTTTCCCCGAGGTTCCAGGGTTCGATCCTCGTGTAAAGGTATAGGATCACCTGTACGGTCTCCTGGTACATTCTGTTTTCCTGTCACATTAAGAGACCTCTGGCACGCTACCATCAGGACTCAAAAGAAAGATTAATAATAGTTGAGCGATTTTTTTCATAACTGTTGTAAAAAGTAATAAATTTTGATATCTCTTATGAAGCGTCTTGTTTATTGCAATAATATAAGAATCTGTTATATTGTTCTCTAGCAATGTCGAGAAGAACACAGCTACTTAATCGCAACCCTCGTGTTAAAAATAAAGTTGGCTACTTGTGATCGTTGTTGTGAGACCCACAATATGCTCTTTATTTGAACAGTGATGGTACTTCAGAAAAATAATACGGATTTAGTCATCATGTCATCTGAACTCATGAAAGCGTTCCCTGTCCAACTCCAGCAGTCATTTGGCAAAATGGAAGTTATCTCGATGTCCAGTCTGACTAATCCCCCATATTCACCTTTAGCTACATCCGGACAATCTGTTGATGGCGAAGACGAATGTTCGCCGTGCAGGGAAAACGGAAGTGCTCATTTTGAAATAACAATGCCAATAAACGAACACGATTGGTGGTATAATCACGTTTTAGTTATAGCTGACGCCATTCTAAAACATCTCAGATGGTCTTCGGTATACATATTTTATGAAGAGAAGCTACGTAAGTCTATTATCTTTTTATTTATTGAAGATGGAGGTATATTTTTTCACAATTAGTTGTGAACGTTACCGTAAAATATAAATATTACTTAACACCTTTTCAAAGTAAAGGCTGTATTTGATGGCTAAATAAGCTAATTAGCATCAGAATCGCGATCCTTAATCTTAAACAGTTCTGTTTGAAATGTTACAAGATGAAGTCAAGGTGAAGCATCATGAAATGCGCAAAACGTTTGGAAAATGTATGAAGTTTTCGAAATTTTACTTTTTCAGAGATTTATATTCAAAATAAAAAGATAAATGTTATCACCTTATTTTTGTCTCCATATCTTTATTTTTAAATAGTGGTTATGATAATGGTACCCTTTAATTATGATAATGTGCTAAACCTTGCATCTATTTTGTTGTTCAACACTTCTTGCTCGTTTCACTGTTGAGAAAGATCATAAACATGCACACATTGAATGGAGGAGAGAAATATAGAGTTTTTCTTCTGTTTAAGAGCATCTTGTCGACCTGTTGCTGGATCACTGGTCCGAAAACAGCATTACGTTCAACACTTTTATGGTCGAAAGAATGTCGGATTCAGATATCGTTGATATTCTTGGAAGTTTGAAGTCAGCGAGCAACGTGACCAAGGGTATGGCTAACCTGCTAGTCTTGTGTGAGGATTACTTCACTAACTTCCTCATACATGTGGTAAGGATGACACGAAGTCAGTACAATCACAAAGAGGAACGTTAAATCCTCTACACGATATAGTTTGCGTCGCCCGTTTTCATATAATATCAATACGAAAATGATATTTCACTTTATGCAAATGGGAAATGTTTTAGAAGCCATGCATAATATTGTAAACGTAAAAAGTATTGAAAAGCATTGATATGATTTGTTTATTATTTAAGATTTGACTAGTGGTCCGTATTAGTTAAGTTTGTATTATTTATTTTATATATGACATATTTTAAGATAAATATTGAATTGAAACTTGTTTTCGAACCGACATATACAACGCAAGTTTGATAATTTATCACGAAAGTTGATTGGAGTAAGTAATTTAAAACATGGTTAACTTTTTTTTTAAATTTAGGCCTCGGAATACTCCGAGAAACATATCCGGGATTCGGCCATTCAGCACCACACCCACTGGTTGCTGGTTTTGTTCAGTAATGATGCCACAGGACGAAGAATACTGAACAACATAACATTGGACAACGTGGCTCTCATAGAACTGGAAACACAAGACAGAATTAAGCAGAAGGTTATCGCTAGTTAACCTACTATTACTCTCATAATACTGAAAACACAAGACAGAATTAAACAGAAGGTTATCACTAGTTAACTTGCTTTCGTTCTTATAGTACTGGAAACATAATACACAGTTAAACAGAAGTTTATCACTAGTTAACTCGCTTTCATTCTCATAGTACTGGAAACACAAGACAAAGGTAAACAGAAGATTATCACTAGTTAATTTACTATCACTCTCATAGTACTGGAAACACAAGGCATGATTACACAGGAAGTTATCACTTGTTAACTGGCTATCATTCTCATAGTAAAGCCTAATTCTTGAATCGTTCGTCAATATGAGAATCATTATTTCATAAAAAAACATAGTTGACTTTCGCCTTTTAAAACAATTTTGTTATCGAATAACAATATTCTGTTATTGCTTTTTCGTCATTTTTGTTTAATATTGAAAAAGTGTGTTGTCGAGAACTGTTTTTGAAACTTTGTAGATTTTGAAGATTTGTAGCCACATATGTTCGGTAAATACATGCTTAGTTAGAAACAAAATATCGGCTATATACAGTTATTGTTTTCTCTTGTAGACGTGTCATTCCATCGAAAGTATCCTACTGGCAGACGAATGTACAGAACACGGAATTATGACTGGCACCGAGTTTCTCAAATACACCATTGCTAGGCTGTTTTATGACGCAAGTACAACCAAACGTTTAAAACTGTCGTAATACAACTTAAATCACTATTCTTAGCAAAAATGCTGTTTGTAGCATGAAACGTGTTTGTTTCCAAGAATAACATCATATTCATACCCAACACATCGACAACCTTTGTATTTGTACGACTACACTGCGTGTATATATTTGTGTAAAAAAAAACAATAAACCAATTCACGTTAGCTGCTTGGTCATCATCTTGGTTATGCCGTTAACGTCAAAAGGCTTATTAAGAGTTATCATTTCTAAATCATTGATGGATGGGTTTTTTTTCATTTCCAAAATAATATATATAAATGTGTGATTATTGTATTCCGTCTTATTGCAGAAATGTGTCATTTACATAATATTGTAAGAAACCAAACTATTAAACATAATCAATATTTTTATCATCGATTTCCAAAGACTGTAATTGTAAGTTTGCTTTTGTTTGTTCCACAACATTAAACATGCTTTATTGTTTTTCATCCTTGCAGAGTGGTAACGTGTGTCGTAAGTTTGTTATACACACGCTGATGTGGCGAAATGATGGCCGGGAACTGTCACCAGTAGGGACCGTGAACTTAAACGGAGACATAATTTTACACTCTAGTATATTTCCCAATGTGCACTTCGGATTTAACCAAAGGAATTTTGTTGTTTCTACTCAACCGGTAAGCTGATACGTTAAACAACAGTGTTTCCTTGAACTTGAAACAAATCTTTCTTCATCTAGATTCAACTTACCCCAATACTCGACTGTTAAAATATCATGGGTGGAAATTCCCATAGGACACCAGACTTTTGATGTTTAAATTTTCTATAGAATAACATTCAGTTTTAACTTATCAATATCCATAAAATTTGTATTGTGGACATTTTAGTTATGCGAAAACTAGAACGCCTCGATCATTTGTGGATTTATTTCGATTTCGGTAAGAGAAGGAACAAACCAAAACAACTGTGCTTCGTGACTTGAATGCGCATGTTTACACATGGTTGAAGCTACAATAAAGCTTAATACTAATTTCAAATGTGTTCACCTTGAGTAATTATCATATGTAGCAATTGGCATGTACGCCTTGTCAATATACACAGACACGATAATACGAACACAGGAACCAAAAGAGACTTTTGATATAACAGAAAAGAACGCTTTTATCCCCAAACAAATTCAAAGAAACAGATAATTATAATAATTATAATAATGTACAACAATTTAACATAGCGCCTTATCTATCTAACATAAGGCACTCTAAAGCGCTTTATGTTTGTTAAGAAAGGGTGAAGGCTGAATTAGACCCCTGGAGGTATGCGGCCCCTTCACCCCACCTCCATGTTATACCTGTTATGAAGTCTTCATAGAAAACCCGGAGAAGTTTATAGGTAACCAAGATTTAAGATACACGTATTTTAACATGGTAGGGAAATAGTCACCATGGCACTATTAAGGAAACGAAAGTGAACAATCGTGAAATTGGACTTGATTGGTAGTGTTTAATCGGTACTTTCAGAACTAAAATAAATTAAACGTGATAATAGCAACACACTATTTTGTTTATTTTTAAACAGAAGGTAAGAAGCATCGAAATTATTTTTGTTAAGTGAAACGTCAAATTGTTATATTCACCATGACAAACCTATATCACAGGTGTTCCCGTTTGAGTTCCAAACCAACACCTCATTCGAAGGTCTGTGCATAGATCTACTGGCACAGTTGGCAGTAGAACTGAACTTCACGTGAGTGTTGGCATATTTGTATTCAAAACGTTTAATAGAAAATGTCACTAGTTGAAAAAATGTATACACTTTTCAGACATAATGATATCCTCAAACCAATTTCTTCATAATTATTCTTTCATAATATATAATAAACCATGTCAATGATTGAAAATAAAAAAAACCAATAATGAACCATGTTTCACAGTTTTGAAGTGATAGTTCCCCCCGATGGAGATTTTGGAGTGATGCTGGATAATGGCAGCTGGACAGGACTTATAGGACAACTACAGAGGAAGGTAATAACACCTGTCGACAAATACTATAACATGATTTATGTAAAATATAGTTTTTAAATCAAATAAACCTCATTCATTTCATCATTTTGTTAATATCCCGCACTGCTTCATTTATAAAATTAAAATATGCAGCTTCAAGCTCTGACCTTCGCGTAAAGGGGAGAATTGGCAGTTACGGGATTCTTTCGTATTCAATGCTATTTATTTAAAAGTATTTGATCGCTATAGTGTATAATTAACCTTACGGCAATACCTAGAAAACAACGCTATCTATAACAAGCCTAGCAAATAGTATCTTATAACCTCCTTCTGTGCCTAGGATGTAGACCTTGTGGCTGCTCCTCTGTCAATCACAATGCAGAGGGAACGCGTCATGGACTTCATTCATCCATTTTTTCACGACCATTCCGAAGTTTTAATTCAGAAACCGGATCCACAGGAAACAAAATGGCGTACTTTGATCGACCCTTACAGTGACACTGTCATTATCAGTATCGGGTTGTCCCTGCCCCTCGCATCCCTTGTACTTGTGGTACTGGAAAACATCAGCCCCGTCTACAGTGGAGATGAGAGAGAACCCAACGGAAGTGACCTTAACTCCTTCTTGGGATCTTTCTGGTACCTATTTGGAGCTCTTTTAACACAAGGTGAACGATTAATTTCTCATTTTTTCATATGTTGATATTTCGATAACTTCGGATTTTGTAGCCATTCTGGTAACTATTTGTAACAATGTTACCTACAGAAAATACATGCTATACTTAATGATACTTAATGATATTTTCCAGCGCAGGTTCCATTCTAAGGATCCTCGTCGCTGGACTCATAAGTGTTATTATTATAATTATATATTTCACTTCCGGTTGCTACACGTATTGTCCCTTTGTAGTTTATACTTTATACTTTATGCTATGATGTCAATGGCCAATATGGAAGAGCTATGGTAGTATGAAAACTAAAAAAAAAA